AGTTCAATTTTTAATTTTGAGGAATCTCTATGCTGTTTTTCAAACTGGCTAGAACAGTCTTCATTCCCACCAGCAGTACACAAGGTTTCCTGTTTCTCTACATCTTTACCAGGACTTGACATTTGTTGATAATAACCATTCTGACAGGTGTGAGGTGGTATCTAATTGTCCTTTAGATTTGCATCTCTTGAATTATTAGTGACTTTGAGCATGTTTTCATATGCCTTGTGGATTTCTGTATGTCCATTTTCCAAAAGTGTCTAAGTACTTGGCCCATATTTTTTTTATTAGATTGCTTATTTTCCTTTTGGTAAGATATCTGAGTTCCCTATAAATTTTTAAGATTAGGCCTTTATTCCATATAACATTGGCAAATATGTTCTCTCATGCTGTGGGCTTCCTTGTTGTTTTGTTGATGGTTTCTTTTGCTGTGCAAAAGATTTTTATTTTGTGTAGTCCCATTTGTTTATTTTCTCCTTAGTTTTTCTTGCCCTAGGATCTGTGTCTATAAAAATATTGCTATGACATATGTTTGCAATTTTGCTGCCTATGGAGTCTTGTAGGATTTTTATGGTTTCCCATCTTGTAGTCATATTCAAGTGCTTTAGGCATTTTGAGTTTGTTTTTGTGTATGGTGTAAGTTGGTGATCTAGTTTTTCTTTCTTTCTTTTTTTTTTTTTTTTTTTTTTTTTTTTTGCATACATCTAACCAAATTTCCCAGCACCATATATTAAAGAGACTATCTTGACTCCATTGCATTCTCTTGCCTCCTTTGTCAAATATTAATTGAGCACTATTGCTTAATTCAATTTCTTGTTTCTTTGTTCTATTCTATTGGTCTTTATATCTGTTCTTGTGCCAGTACCAGGCAGTTTTGAAAACAGTGGCATTGTAATATAGCTTGATAACTGGTATTGTGATTCCTCTAACTTGGTTCTTCTTTCCAAGTTTGCTTTGACTATGCAGGGTCTTTTTTTGTTCCATATGAATTATTGGAGAGTTTATTCTAGGTTTATGAAATATGCCATTGGTATTTTAATGAGGATTGCATTAAATCTATTGTATATTTTGGGTAGTATGGACATTTTAATGATGTGGACTCTACCAATCCATGAACATGGTATATTCTTCCATTTGTTTATGTCTTCTTCTATCTCTTTTTCCAATGTCCTGTAGTTTTCCTAGTACAGGTCTTTTACTTCCTTAGTTAAGTTTATTTTTAGGTAGCTTAATTTTTTTGGTACAAAGTTAAATGGGAGTGCTTTTGTTGTTTCTCTTTCTGTGCAATCATTATTGGTATATAAAAAAAGCCATAGATTTCTAGATGTTAATTTTGTATCCTGCTACATTGCCTAATTCATTTATTAAACCTAGTAGTATTTTTTATGGATTCTTTAGGGTTTTCTATGTACAATATCATGTCATCTGTGAATAGGACAGTTTTACTTCTTTTCCAATTTGGATGCCTTTCGTTTCTTCTTCTTCTTGTCTGATTACAATGGCTAGTACTTCCAGTACTATGTCAAACAGGAGTGGTGAGAGTGAGCATCCTTGTCTTTTTCTGTTCTTAGGGAAAATGGTTTTAGTTTATGCCCATAGAGTATGATTTTGGCTATAGATTTGTCATATAAGGATTGTATTATGTTGAGATATGATCCCTCTATTCTCATGTTGCTGAGAGTTTTTATCAAGAAAGGGGTCAAATGCTCTTTCTATATCAATTGATATGATTATGTGATTTTTGTCTCTCAATTTGTTCATGTGATGGATCACATTTATTGATTTATGGCTATTGTACCATCCTTATATCCCCAGAATAAATCCCACTTGGTCATGATGTATGGTCTTTCTAATGTAATGCTGAATCTGATTTGTTAGAATTTTGTTGAGGGTTTTAGCATCTATGTTCATCAAAGATATTGGCCTGTACTTATCTTTCTTTATAGTGTCTTTTTCTGCTTTTGAGATTACGGCAATGCTGGCTTCATAAAGAGAGATTTGGAGTGTTCCAACCTCTTGAGTTTTTTGGAATAGTCTGAGGAGGATAGGTTTTAGTTCTTCTTTGTGTTTGATAAAACTCCCCAGTTAAGCCATCTGGCCCAGGGCTTTTATTTGTTGGAAGTGTTTTGATGACTGCTTCAATTTTCTCCATAGTAATCATCCTATTCAGATTTTTTTATTCTTCCTGACTGAGTTTTTGACTGTTGTATTTTTCTAGGAATATGTTCATTTCTTCCAGATTGACTAGTTTGTTGGAATAGAGTTGTTCATGGTACTTTTTTACAATCCTTTGTAATTCTGTGGGGTCTATTGTTATTTCATCTCTTTCATTTCTGATTTTGTTTATTTGGGTCCTCCCTCTTTGCTTCTTGGTGAGGCTGGCTAGAGGTTCTTCAGTCTTGTTTATCCTTTCAAAGAACCATCTCTTAGTTTTATTGATATTTTGTATTATTTTGTGTTGTTTTATTTTTTATTTTTTATATTTTTTGGTCTCTATATTGTTTATCTCCACTCTAATTTTTATTATTTCCTATGATTGCTGTTGATCTCTCCCTTGGTTTCTTCCAGAAGGTTTTATGTATTTGGGTGCATATATGTTTTCCTGAGTTATATTCTATTGTATCAATCCCTTTAGTATTATGAAGTGGCCTTCCTTATCTCTTATTATGGCCTTCACTTTGATGTCTATATTGTCAGAAAGAAGTATTGCTCTTTTTTTCCATTTTCATTTGTCTGGAAAATGTTTTTTCATCCCTTCACTTTCAGTCTGTGTGATTCCTTTGTTCTGAGGTGGATCTCTTGTGGGTCATTTTTTCTGATCCATTCAACCACTCTATTTCTTTTGATTTCTGCATTTAATCCATTTACATTTAATGTTAATATAGATTGGTACTAGTTTGTAACCAATTTTTGTTTGTTTGTGCCTATGTTCCTTCTTCCCTTTCTATTTCTTCTTTTTTATAGTAGTCCCTTTAACATTTCTTGCATTGCTGGCTTGGTAGTAATAAATTTCCTTAGCTTTTTTTTTTTTTTCTTCTGAGAAACTCCTGATTTCTCCTTCAATTTTGAATGATAGCTTTGCTGGACAGAGTATTCTTGGATGCAGACTCTTGCTTTGCATCATTTTAAATACTTCATTCCATACTCTTCTGGCTATAGGTATTTCTTTTGAGAAATCATTTAATAATCTTATGAGAGATCCTTTGTCTCTCTCTTGCAGCCTTTAAGATTCTCTTTTTATCATTAATTATAATTACGATGTGTTTTATGTGGGTCTTTTTGAGTTCATCTTGTTTGGGACTCTCTTTTCCTGAGTGGCTTTTTTCTTCCCCAATTCAGAGAAGTTGTCTGTCACTGTTTCTTCCAATATATTTTTTAATCTGTGCTCCTCTTTTTGTCTTTCTGGCACCCATATTATGTGTATGCTACTTTGTTTCATGTTGTCCCAAAGTTCCCTTTCGCTCTCCTCCTGCTTTATACATTTTTTGTCCAATTGTTATTCAGATTGGTTGTGTTTTACTGCCCTATCCTCTAACTCACTAATTCAGTACTCCACTTCTTCTAGTCTACTGTTAAAACCCTCAGTTGTGTTTTTATAATAGCTATATCACTTTTTATTTCCTCTTGATTCTGACATAAGTTGTTTATTTTCTCATCCATCTGGTTTATGAACTTGATGATCCTTACTCTGAATTATTTTTCTAACATATTGTATGTCTCTATTTCATTTAGTTCCTTTTCTGTCAATTCTTCCTGTTCTTTGCTTTGGGTTTGTTTTTTTGTATCCTCATTTTTGCTGTCTCTTCTGTCCCTGCTTAGGGCACAAGGGGTTGAAGACCCTCGCCGTCCAATGGTCCTGGACTTGCTATCACCCAGTGGCTGGATATGCCTTGAGTTTCACACCTTTATTATCTCTTCTCTGAATTGTAAGCCTTCTCCCACAGTTCTGGTCCTCAATTATCCATGTCTTGAGGTTGGTTGGGGCAGGTGCACAGTTCCTCTGGTTATGACTCTTTGTGAGGGCCCAGAGCCCTCTGGCATGTAATTTGCTGTGTCTCCAACCCCTAAAGCAAGATGGTACCCAAGATCCCTCTGGTAATGCACTTGCAGTGTGGTCCTGTGGCCTGTGGTTGGGCACACCAGGTTGCAGCAGAAGCTTTGACCTGGACTGAGGGTAGGACATGCACCAGGTTACAACTCTAGTCTGTGGTGTAAGCAGGGTATGCATGAGCCAAAAATTCTGTCTTGCTGGTGGCAGAGCACCCACTGGCCCAAGTCTCTGCATTTTCTGAGTGTGTAGCACACACTGAGTTGCAGCTCTGTCTGAGCTGACAGAAGAGTGTGCTTGAATTGTGATGGGGGCAGGGCACTCACCTGGTGATGGCTCTGCCTGAGATGGTGGCAGAGTACTCTCAATTTCTGCCAGGCATGGGTTCTGTCTGCCCTGGTGTGAGCTCAGTCTGTGCTAGGGGCAGGGTGCTTGCCAGTGAGGGCTCTGCCTGAGCTGGTTGTAGTGCACTCAGTTGTGCCAGGTGCAGGCTCTGTCTGTCGTAGAGCATACTCAGTCTATGCCAGGGTTCTGGGCACTTACCAGGCAATCTGTCTGGGTGAGAGTGTAGCATGCAACCATCTGTGGTTCTGTGTTGGGATCAGGGATGGAACACAGAGTGGGATACCTGTGGCTTGCACTCACATTATGGTTACCTGAAGCATGGAATCCTAGGATGAAGGGTTTGGGCTCTGGTTAGGAGGCACAGCTCAGGATGTCGATCTGTTGTGCTCTCAGTGTAGGCATCTGGGACCCACATCATGGTACGACTCTGCTCACTGCCAGAGCACCATGGTGGTTTCACACAGGTTATGGCTGGCAAGCAGCTCCATAAACAGGTCCGGGCATACTGTCCAAGGTCATTCTGGATGTTGGTTTGGCAGCATTCCTGGCCTCTGTTGCTCTCTTCTACAAGATGGCATGTGTTCTGCACCAAAGCTGAACCTGCCTGGGGCTGTCCATGTCATTAGCAAAGGCTCTCCATCTAAACAAGCCCAATCTGTCAGACCCTGGAACTCCTGAGATATATATCTATCCACAGCTCACACACACACACACACACACACACACACACACCTATCACTTTTTTTTCTCTGTCACTCTCTCCCACCTTAGCATCCTGTCAGCTGCCATCATAAGTACATCTGGGTGGCTGGGTTTTGTTTGGCCTTTCAATTAAAATTTCTTTCTGAGAGTCTGATAAAAACAACAAACCTTCAACATATAAATGAAAGCTGAATTTGTTAGGCTCCAAAGATAAAGGGACACATCCTCTTTCCAGCCCTATTCTCAATTGTTCTTTGTGGATGTGTCAAATTATTCCTCACAATGTGCAGGAGCCCCATAGAGAAGTCCCAACTCAATTGTAATTAACTGACTAGTTCATCCAGGGTCCCCATAAGGCTTGGTCTGCCAGGGCCCAGATCCCTTTAAGTTGTTTTAGACATCTGGGAGGGAAATTGAGGCACATAAAAGGGTTGAATGTGACTCAAGGAGTGAGAGTATTATGGAGCTCAACACATAAGCATTTTGACCCACTTCATAACATCCCTAGAAAATTTGCTCAGAATGCAGATATCCAAAAATAAAATTAAATAAATAAATAAATAAATAAATAAATAAATAAATAAAATTAACATAGGAAATTGTGCCTCCAAGGCAAGAAACTTCCAAAATCTCATCCTCATTTAATACTACTGATAGGATGCCTTTACTTGCAAATGCTTTACAGAAATGGGAATACTTAACTAGAAAATATCAACTTAAAAAATGCTATTGTCTTTGGGTACCTAAATTAATATTTTGCATACAAAAATTAGAAAAATGCTGGCTCTAAAATTAAACTGAATGAATATATGGGAAGCATATCTTGATTTGAAAATTCTAAGAAGAAGCATAGAAAAAATTATTTTAAATTTTTAACAAGAAATTTTAGAGTCTATCTGAGAACTATTTTGAAGCTAATAAATGCCTATACCCCATTTTCCCTTTTCCATAGGTCTCTATTATATCCTTTGATTTTTTTAACCTTTAATAGTTTGTTGGGAGCCATCAGAGTTGAGACAAGCAACTTCGTTTTAAGGAAATAGAATTAAGTTCCTTCTAGCAGAAGTTATGTGGTGCCCTGAGGGTTTGGCCAGAAGCTAAAGATTAACCTGCTGCTTGGCATCTCTGCAACTTCCCCTTCCTGATCCTCCCCCATAGCTAGCCCAGCCTTGGAATGTTACACCTTGGAATGTTACACCGCCCTGGCAGTTAGCCAATCCTGTGTTGCCAGATACCTTACCACCTTGTCACTCAGTGCCTAAACCAATTATACACTGCCAAAGACCCCTCTGCATAGGCAACCCTGCCCCCCTTTGTTCTTGCTGCATATATACTGCCATTTCAAAAAATAAAGTTCGAGGCTTGATCAGAACCTTGTCTTGCCTCCGTTCTTTCGCGTTCCTAGTTTGTTTCATTCTCTTAGGTGGTTCCTGCATACCCCCATTGTTGCCCCGCGGGTTGGGGCAAATTGGCGCCCAACGAGGGGCCCCTGGGCACCCCCGACGAGAGCCCTGGCCAGGCACCCCCCCAGAGTCGCTGCGAGGACCCACGAGTGAAGACTCAGCACTAGATCGCCACGGTCCCACCGTGAGACAGATCGGAGTAAAGGTAGGTAGACAATTTTTTCAAACAAGATTTCAGAACATTTCACCCCTTTTTGCTGGATTGTTATTATTGGCTCTCTCGGTCGGTTCCTTCCTGCCCACTAATAAGCACTCACTTGCCGATTTGGGGAAGAGTGAAAGGTACCCATCTCCGGCTGTGAAAACTCCGAATCACTTGAGTTAGTACCGTCTCCCGGTTTTCTTGGCGAGAATCCTCTCCAATTAGATCTACTCTTAAAACCTTGAGCTTGCTTTGAACAAAGGTCGTTCCCCTCACAGACTCAACCACGGGGAGACCTGCGCACCTGAGGAGGGCAAACGGGGTCTTCTGGTCTGTGAGGATCCGTCTAGGCGGATTATACCTACCGACTGTTTCACGCAAGCAAGGGAGTAAAGGGTAGAGTCGAAAAGAGAGTAATTCCGCCTGAATTCCTGGGTTGATGAGAAAATTCAGGCTGACCTGGCACAGGGTTAATACGTCCCGGAGGCTTACGTGGAGAAGTAACCTCTTTGAGAGCCATCCAATCAACCGATAATGGGGAATTCTTTAAGTTGTCATGAAATGTTCCTTGACCGTGTCAAGATTTCCCTCAGAACTCGAGGAATAAGGGTAAAGAAAAAAGAATCTTAGAAAAAGGGCTCAGGGAGTGCCTTCAGGCACGAGGAATTAAGGCTAGAAAAAAAGAATCTTAGAAACAAAAGTGCTCTTTAGAGTGAATGTTGAAGTCTATGTGATCACAATATAATGTTTTTTGTTGAAATTAGAATCTTAGTATATGTATGGAATTTAAAATCTATAATAAGTGGAACTCCACTGCTGAAACTGCCTCTGATGTGGATAAATTCGAAGACAGCTGGAGAAGGCAGGGCCATCTGCTCTCCCACATTAAGATTACTTGCAATAAGACTACTTAATGCCTTGTTTAAAAATTATAAGAAAACTCACAGGGAAATGCAAATCTTGACCAAATTGGGTATTAATTATTATTTCAGAAAGCCAAAAAGAAAAAAATTGAGATCTGTCTATCTTTTAAGTATGAAAAGAAATTCAGCCAGATCTGTTGCTGATGCTTCCCCTGAAGTAAGCAGGATATGGGGGAAGGGAGAGACATGAGGCGATCCAATATAGAAGCCTGCTCTCCTAGAATATTAAATTAAAAATTTCCTTTCTGGCCATAAAAAAGTTTTAAAAATTTAGAAATGCGTATGGGATATCTGTACACGTGTAAAGAGAAAGCTAGTATAAGACTAAATGCGCACACGTCCGATTTTGGATATTAGATAAGTCTTGAACTAGCCTTAACTCTTTACAAGAGCTACAGAAATGAAAAACCCAGAACTGATTCTTTTTCCTGAGAAAAACAGCGAAAAAATCTTCTTGAAAGAAATTCAAGCTAATTCCAGCAACAAGATTTGCATTTCCATAATAAAGAATAGTTTTCAAAATGCTAGTGAACCTTATTAAAAAGTTAACTTTTAAGGCCTTCAAGAAAATAAATAAATTTGTCTCTGTCATAGAATTTATCCAAAGTAAATACTTTAAAGATCTAAGTAGTTCAGATAACTGGCTACATCCTTTGTTGAGGAAGGAAAGGGTAAAGGCCCTTCCCCTAGCAGACAGTTAATATAGTGTCCTGCCAGTAGCCATCTTAAAGAATGTGATAATTTACAGTCGAATAAACAAAACCTAGTTTCCCAGAACCACTGGCAAATAAAAAATAAAGTTCAAATTTGCCTCATAACAAACCTAGAGGACAGAATTGATGTCTTGTATTTTTCTTAGAAATATAAAGTGTTAGTTGGTCCGAAGGTTGTGGGTTATTGTTAAGCTGATTAACATAAAGTGTTATTAATCTAAGAACTACTAAATATATTTGACTTGCCAGCTTTAAAAATTTAAAGTTCAAATTAAATTAGGAGAAATTATAGAGTTGTAGTGATTAAATACTTAAAGCATAAAAACTTATTTTTAAGAAAATAAAATGTATTTCCTCTAATAATTAGGAATTCAAAATAAGTTGCTTATTATTGATCTAATTAAAAAAAGGATTAATTCTGTGATCTCCACCAAAAATTTTTCTATACAAAAGCTAGTCTAAATCTAATTGATATCTTAAGATAATAATAGATAATAATAACAGGTATTAAAATATTTAAATCATGTAGATATTTATTTGATGGTTTTTTCCATGTTAAAATTTCAAGGTATTAACAGAGATGATTCTTGGAAAGCTCCAAGGACCCAGAGTAATACAAGAAATTTATTCTCTCTTCTTATAGGAAAACTTTTAAAACAGATCTAAAATACTTAAAATTGCATGGAAAGCCTTATCAAATAAAAATTAATAGGTATATATTAAATATTAGAAAAGTTTTCGCCTATAAGAAAGGCAAAAACAATATATTTCTTAAATATAGCCAAATTTTTCAACAGCAATAGAATTTCAAGAAAGACAAAAACCATGCTTTTGGATCAGGCCAATAAAGTATCAAACCTATAAGTTTTACTGAATAAGTTTCTTTGCCATTATTTTTTTAAGTTAAAAATACCTACTTAAGTTACTTTATAAATTAACTTTTACAATATAATCAATGTCATATAAATTAAGTTACATAAGAAGCCAATGTTTTATAAATAATTGAATCCTAACTATATATGACCGCCTACATTTTAATTAAGCTAAAGGCAAGGCAACATTTGTGGCTTATGAATTCAGAAATAAATTTGCTTTATTTTTAAAGTAAAGATACCTTGCCATGATAACAGTCAGCACCTGTGCATTGCTACAGGTTGCCCAAGACCAAGGGCAAGGAAGGTCGGTGTACACACCCTTCTACATAGAAGTCAAAATACTTAATATTTTATATTCTACCAGAAACCCTAGCTTAGGGGCTTGATTTATATCTAACACAGAGAATAGTATTAACAACCACATTAAAAGAAATTTTTATCTCAGGTATTAACCATTTTTACAGATAGATCCAGTTCTAGAAAGGCTAGATATACTACAGCAGAGGAGCAAAGGTCCTTCAAACCTCTTATATTTCAATAAAAATACAAGCTCTTATTTATGCCTTAACAGATTTTACTACAAAGCCCATCAATCTATAGTAATAGTACTTATATAGTAAGTATAGCAAAAATTATTAAAACAGCTACTATAAGGCACATTAATTCAAAGGAACTTTTCATTTAATTTTCAGTCTATAAAATGTTATTTGAGAATGGCAATTTCCATATTTTATTAGAAACAATGTCCTCAGAATATTATCCAACTTCCTATACCAACCTTAGGAACAAATCCCCGAGGACTTAAACCTAATCAAATCTGGTAAAATAGATGTCACTCAGTGGTAGAAAGAGCCATTCGTACTCTTAAGATCATTTTAAAAACAAAAAAGGGGGAGACAGATATTATGTGTCACCTCAAGAGAAGCTCAGTCATACTTTTTATACCTTAAAAATTTTTAAATTGTGATGCAGAAGATCGTACAGCAGGCGAAAGGCATCAGGCCTCCTGTACCGAGTCAGCTAGGTTGAAGGAAGCATAAACCAGAAAAGAGTTTTATCAGATTCAGTAATAATGAAAGGTTAGAAGTGGCTGTACATTCTTATACTAAGTTATCTAATCAATTAATCAATGATGTCCAAGCCCTCTCTAGTACCATTAATGATCTCCAAGACCAAATTGACTCCTTAGCTGAAGTTGTTCTACAAAATAGGAGAAGGTTAGACTTACTCAGAGCAGAGCAGGGAGGGATATGCTTAGCCTTTCAGGAACGTTGCTGTTTCTATGCCAATAAGTCTGGAATGGTCCAAGACAAAAATCAAGAAACTACAGGAAGACCTGATAAAGCGGTGGAAAGAACTGTTTGAGAACCCTCTCTGGAGCGGACTAAACGGACTTCTCCCCTACCTTCTCCCCATCCTGGGCCCCCTCATAGGCTTCTTATTAGTTTTATCCTTTGGCCCCTGGGCTTTTCGGAGGTTAACAGATTTTGTAAAACAACAGATTGACAGCATCTTGGCCAAACCCATCCAGGTACATTACCACTGTTTAGCCGTAGCTGACAGTGAGCAAGATTATGAACTTTACCATCGTTCCCTCCCTGCGGGGACAGCATGATGACCAGAGGAATGCTTACCTACTCCTCACTGGGAGAAAGGTATGGGTACAAAAAATTTTCCGACCCCCTCTTCCCAAGGGAAGGTCATGGGAAAATTTCGACCCCCTCTGGATTTCCCTGTGAGTATACCTGGTTTGCATAGAGGTTGGTATCAATACAAATTTAATCGGCTCTGCCTCTCCTCCCCAAAAGATACCAAGAGCCGCTACTAACACTGGTGGGCCTGGGAAACCCACTGGAGGAACCAGGTCACTACTCCCCCAATCGGTTAAGGCCCACCCTCAATAAGATAAAGAGGGAGGAGATGTTGGGAGCCATCAGAGTTGAGACAAGCAACTCCATCTTAAGAAGATAGAATTAAGTTCCTTCTAGCAGAAGTTATGTGGTGCCCTGAGGGTTTGGCCAGAAGCTAAAGATTAACCTGCCGCTTAGCATCTCTGCAACTTCCCCTTCCTGATCCTCCCCCATAGCTAGCCCAGCCTTGGAATGTTACACCTTGGAATGTTACACCGCCCTGGCAGTTAGCCAATCCTGTGTTGCCAGATACCTTACCACCTTGTCACTCAGTGCCTAAACCAATTATACACTGCCAAAGACCCCTCTGCATAGGCAACCCTGCCCCTCTTTGTTCCTGCTGCATATATACTGCCATTTCAAAAAATAAAGTTCGAGGCTTGATCAGAACCTTGTCTTGCCTCCGTTCTTTCGCGTTCCTAGTTTGTTTCATTCTCTTAGGTGGTTCCTGCATACCCTCGTTGTTGCCCCGCTAGTCGGGGCAATAGTTTATTTGTAAACCAATAAATGTAACTATACTAAACCAAAATCTTATGAGACAGTCAAGACTACATTAGTGTCCAGACAGTGTTGCCCAGTAGTTGAGCATCATATGAACAAGGAGTTCATGGATCATGCCCAGGTTTCAGGTTCAATCCCCAATGGGGGACATGCAGGAGGCAGCTAATGGATGATTCTATCTCATCATTGTTGTTTTTCTATCTCTCTCTCCCGCTCTCTGAAATCAATAAAAACATTTTTTAAAAATATTTTTTAGAGAGGGAGACAAAATAGAGGCAGAATAGACAGACGTGTCCTGAGCCTTGTCCTTGAGCAGATAGAACAAGCAACTAAATACAATAACATCCAACCCAGTTGGTGAAGTACACACAGCTGGTGAGACAATCCACAGATGGGAAGGGCAGAGGACACCTGGAGAATGGTTTAAAAAAAAAAAAGGATCTGGGTTAGAGAGAACTGTGAGACCTTGAGGGAAACCACACGGCACTGAGATTGCATCCATTGGGACAGGCACAATGTCTGACTGTGGAAAGGAAGTCCACAGGACTGCTGGTGGAAGGGGATTCTAGATATAGGTCCACAGTCATGACAGCCTGAGCTTAGAGGGGGCGTTCAGGACTGCTGCATAGGCCATGCGGTGCTAGAAGGGGAGGAGCTCTCAGAGGCACAGCTCTTTCCCCTTTTGACCTCAAGTCTGGTGCCAAGTCATAACTGACACATGGGACCTAGGTAGCCATTTTCCCCTCCGTGTCGTCTCCAGGCAACCAATATAGCCACATCCAGACTACACCCTGAGTGGCACAAAGGATAAAATTGAAAATCTGAATAGTCCCCGAGAGTCCACAGGGACTGGCCTCAAGAGAGGCCTTCAGTCCCAGAAACTGGAAACTTAGAAAATGCAGACAGTACAGAAGAGTGGGACCTTAAACCAGCCAAAGGAAGGACACTTCACTTTTTCATTTTCATTTTTATTATTTTAATTTAATTTTATTATTATTCTGTTATCTCATTTTTTATTTTTTATTTTCTTTCCTTTTTGTTATTTTATTTCCTATTTCTTTTTGCATTATTTTTCCATCATTTGAATTTATTTTACTTTATTTTTATCCTTTTTAATCAATTTTTAAATTATTATTATTATTATTATGGCAGCATAGTATTCCATTGTGTAGATGTATCATAGTTTTTTGATCCAATCATCTGCTGACGGGCACCTAGCTGTTAGGGTAGGGAGATCTGGGGGAGATAATAGATCAACCGAAGGACTTGTATACATGCATATAAGTACAACCAGTGGACACAAAACTCTGGGGAGGGGGGGTATGTATGGGAGGGGAGACAATGTTAAAATATGTACACAGATAATAATTGAATAAAAATGGGGGGAAATAAAAATAAAATAAAATTATGCATAAAAAATAAATTATTATTATTATTATTATTATTATTATTATTATTATTTTCTTCTCTTTCTCTTCCTTCTTACCCACTCATCCTTATCCCCTTTATACTTCCTCTATACTGAACTGAGGTCCTGCCCATATTCATCCAATTCTTAACCTTATTTTCTGTATATAAGATTCTGCACCCACCCTCTTTACTGAATTTGGTGTTTGTATGTTTTGGTTTATCTGTTTGTTCTCTGATGTTCTCTCTCTCTCTCTCTCTCTCTCTCTCTCTCTATATATATATATATATATATATATATATATAGAGAGAGAGAGAGAGAGAGAGATATAGATATAGATATAGATATAGATATAGATATAGATATAGATATAGATATAGATATACAATATATATAGATATATATAGATAGATATATAGATATATAGATATATAGATATATAGATATATCCATATCCCTTTTACTTCCTTTTTCTTCTTTTCCTTTTCTCTCATACCATTTTTTTTTCTCTCTTCAATATCATTTGTGCTCTCTTTTCTCTCCCCTAATTCTCTTTTCTCTGTTGGTCACTTATATTGGGGTTATCAGTTTAGTGAGTACATTTGTATTTTGTTCCCTTGGTATTGCCTCTTGTTGAGGTGAATTTTATTCTGTTTGGCCAATGTGCTAGAGAGTGAGCCACATAACCAGACACCTGGAAAGGAGTCTTCACCCATGAATGAATCAATAACACCCCAGACCCAATTACAGAGGCAGAAAGAAGGCAGCAATGCGGGAGAGAGTAGGGGAACAAATTAGGAGTGTGTGGTTGTGTGTGTGTGTGTGTGTGTGTGTGTGTGTGTGTGTGTTACAGTTATAACCTGCAGGACTTTCAGGGGCAGGCTAACTGGATTCACCTAATTAAGCAGTCTATGCTACCATTGCAAACAGTCCCAGAGCAGCCAGCTCTTCCTCAGAGGCCTCACACCTTTCAAGGGGAGAGCTTCTGTGACTGGGAGAAGAGCCCAGCCTCTTCTCCACCCAGGATGCTCTCAGATAACACCCGGGATTTTACAGCAACCCCCACCAGGGACCTGCTGCCTAGACTGCAGTCGCATGGTCACTCAAACTTTAGCCACCTCTGAGTTCTTAAGCACGCTCCCTTCTGACTGGCCCAACACTTTAGACCAGGGCACTGTGACCACATGAAAGGAGCCATGTGAGCAGCCTGCTCCAGTATGAGGAGCAGCAGCCCCACAAACAGAATGCCCCAGGTGAGGAGCAGCAACCTCGCGTGGCCTGCCCCCAGCCAAGGAATATCAGCTATGTCAGTGGCCCGCCCCCATCTGAAGAGCAGAAGCTGTGCAAGCAGCTTTCCCCTGTCTGACAAGTAACAGCCATGCAAGCAGTATGCCCTCATCTGAGGAGCAGCAGCCCCATGAGCTACCCACCCCTGTCCAAGGAACAGCAGCCATGTGAGCATCTTTTCTCTATCCAAGGAGCAACAGCTGCTTGAGCAACTTTCCCCAGCCTGCCCCTGTCTGAGGAGCAGCAACCACATGCAGCCTGCACCCATCCAACAAGCAGCAGCCACATGAGCAGCATGCCCCTGTCCAAGGAGCAATAGCTGTGTGAGCAGCCCTCCCACATCCAAGGAATAGCATCCCTGCAAGCAGCCTTCCCCTATTCAAGGAGTAGCAACTGTATGAGTGCCCCCCCCCGCCCCCGACATGTCTAATGAGCAACAGCTTTGCAAACAGCCCACTCCTATCCAAGGAGCAGCATCCCTATGAGCAACCTGCTCCTGTCCAAGAAGCCGTAATCTCATGAGCCAGCCCATCCCCATTTGAGGAGTGGCAGCCCCCGCAAACAGTCTGCCACCATGCGAGAAGCAGCAGCTCACAAGTAGCCCACCCCCATCCCAGGAGCAGCAGCCATGCATGCAACCTGCCCCCATCCACGGTGCAGCAGCCCCATGAGCACCTGCCCCATCCAAAAAAAGCAGCCTCTCAAGCAGCCCACCCTCATCTAAGGAGCAGCAGCTGTGCAAGAAGCCCACACCCGTACAAAGAGCAGCAGTCCTGTGAGCAACCTGCCCTGTCTGAGGAACAGCAGCCTCACAAGCAGCCCACCTCTATCCAAGGAGCAGAAGCTGTGAAAGCAGCCAACCCCTGTACATGGAACAGAAGATGCATGAAGTCTTCCCCCATCCAAGGAGCAGCAGCCCCATGAGCTGCCCGCCCCTGTCTGAGGAGCAGCAGTCTCATGAGCAGTCTGCCACCATCAGAGGAGCAGCAGCCCCATAAGCAGCCCATCCTGTCTGAGTGACAGCAGCTGCATGAACACTCCACCCCATACAAGGAACAGAAATCCTGAGAGCAACCTGGCCCTGTCCAAGAAGCAGCAGCCTCACTAGCAGCATAGCTCAGTCCTAGGAGCAGCAGCTGCATAAAGACAGCCCT